CAATGTTGATAATCCAATGAACTGTTTTCGTGATTCAGAATAGAGGATGACACGGGAGTGGATTTTCACTCCTGTCCCGTCCCACTCCCATAGAAAGAAATCTTGTCCCGTCCCACTCCCAGACCAAAGTTTAAAAAATAATCCCATCCCATCCCGCTCCTGTTTAAACTGACTCCCACTCCTGTACCGCTCCCATATATATTTTTTCTTCAATTAATGTTTAGTTAATACATAGAATTTGATTTAATCTGCAATTCTGCATCCTCTCCAATCCATCCTGTTTTAGACCAGCTGCTGAGCCCCAGTTTCTAGATTTTCTCCAGAAAATGGAAGACAGTAAATAAAAGAAAAACAGTACATCACACCATGTCTACAATTTAATAAACCCAAACAGCACATAAAGCTGAATTTTACTCATTTATTGTTGAGTAAACAATACATTTACAGTTTACATTTATAGTTTTTTTTAATTACATTTTAAACGATTTTCATCAATTATGCTCTTGCATAATGAGACAAATTTTAGTTATATGTTGCTGTGTAGGCTGCAACATGGCTTATTCTTTCCTGAATTTGCGTGCCTCTTCAGACCGCTCATCCCTGAATCACTTGCTACTTGACTAAATGGGGTCACACACCGGACGAGAAGCTCAGCGCCGCGCAGAATCTTTAAAATTCGAACACATTCTGTGTCTGTCCGCGGCGCCCAGCAACGTCTCAGGACCGTGTTCAAAATCCTGCTGCGCCACAGAGCGCCATTTACATAGTTTTATATAAAATTTAAAGTATTTTTGTCTCAAATCGTTGCTAATGTATCCTGACTTCACCCTATGCAGTAATATACATTTAGTTTTGCATTCATTTACAGAAATCAGCTGCTTGAATGACAATTGCTGATGTTATTGGATTTTTCATTTGAGATTTCATTCAATTCATTCAGTTAACGGATGCTCTGAGGTAAAGTTTTCAGACTGCAGACTCAGTAATGATTGTATTTAATTGTACAGTACAATCTAACATAGAACAGACATTATCTTCATTTCATGTCATTAAACATAACAATATTGCTGGCCATACACTGATGAGAAAGTGCGCGTCCAGTGTGCGATACGTTACCTCGAGTTGTCCTAGACACGGCGCTGCGCTTCTCGTCCGGTGTGCGACCCCCTTTTATGCATGTCTTACAAACAGCGTACATCGTGCTATCACCGTCACATTCTACTCTCACATACTTAATTTTTCAGACTTTCCGACCCGTTCTGTGAACTTAATAGACATGTCATTACTTTTGATTTTGCGCTGTAAATCATTTTTTTTGCCACATCGACTTCTCCGCGGCTATTAGCTCCCTCCATCACTGCTCTCCGGCGGTAAGCCGTGACAAAAAGCACTGATGGCTTCTGGAACAGCTGGGTCGTGTAGTTATTTTTTAATTTCGCTACATTTTAGGCGTATTAAAAGGAAACTACAAAATGGTGCATTTACTTTTTTCTTTTTTTTTTTGTCGTCTTTGCTATTGGTTGATTCCCGCTCCCGTCTGCTCCCGTTAACCATTTATCCTGTACCGTCCAAATCCCGTGATTAATAGCAAAGATGACTCCCATCCTGCGGGAATCCCACGGGAATCCCGGGACCCGTGGGATTCCCGAAAAAATGTCAGCCTCTAATTCAGAATGAACAAACCTGATGATAAATCCACATATTTCCACACGCTGAACAATGTTGATAATCCAATGAACTGTTTTCGTGATTCAGAATGAACAAACCTGATGATAAATTCACATATTTCCACACGCTGAACAATGTTGATAATCCAATGAACTGTTTTCGTGATTCAGAATGAACAAACCTGATGATAAATCCACATATTTTCTCGCGCCGAAGAGGACGCTGATAAAACATTCCATGACGTGTTTTGTCGGTCAGACGTAATATTGAGGAGGCCGTTAATAAAATCACATATTTCCTTGCGCTGGGGAGGACGCTGATAAAACATCAAATGACACGTTTTGTGGATCAGACGCTATGAATGAACAGATCGGTGATAAAACACATAATCCAATGAACAGTGTGCTGAGGAGGTCATTGATACATTCTCATATTTCCACAGGTGTACACAGCGTTGATAAAGCACATAATCCTCACTGTTGAAATTATAAAACTTCATGTCTCGGATTTCCTTGTGATGAATGCATGATATTCCACAAGAAAAACGGCATAATCCTCAAAACCCAATGAACTGTTTTCGTGATTCAGAATGAACAAACATGATGATAAATCCACATATTTCCACACGCTGAACAATGTCGATAATCCGATGAACTCGACTTTGATTTACCCAAATTAACACAATAATAAATCCGTATAGATCCAGCGATGTGCTTTGGCGGCCCTGAACACCTGTGTGAATCCGAAATAATCCATCCAAAATTCAATCCGTGGAGCTGATCCTTAAAATACACACTGTCTGCAGTCTGTGAGGTTTTGGCTTTTTGAAACAGCCGCTGTCGGAATATGGGAGGTGTTTACGTGTGTCCCTATGAAGCGAGGACCAATGTGTTGTGCGTTCAGGGGCGTGAATAGAGCGTGGACCAATCCGCCGCACGTGCGTCTTCTACGGGGCGTGTGAGGAGGCGTGGTTAGCGCGCCTCATTGCAAGGCGTTAATTCTCTCATTTAAGTTTCATGCTCCGTCCTGAACGGACGTTTTTTAAAACAGTCCGCCGTATGACGTTGGGGGTGGACGTGCTGTACGTATGGATACCGCGTGCACTGGGGTCACGTGATGTGGGAGTGTCGTGGGAGGAGTCTGCGTGTGGTTCCATGCACAGATGCAAACAGTCACTATGGTTTCTCCCGGTCGAGATGAATGGACGTGTTTCGTGGGGCTCCCGGGATTACATTTACACAAGTTTGAATCGGAGGACTTTTGGAATATCTCTAAAGTTTTGGATATTTTGGATAAAGTGTTGCAGCCGGATAATCCTTGCTGTTGGATATGGTGTTGGATCTTTTTAAACAGGATAAAACGTAAGTCTGCAATGAAAAACTTGTTTGACTTTTTCTGTAAAATGACCGGTCTTTTGACTTTTTTCACATATGAATAAATTTTTAAACTGTTTTAAAGGTTTTAACATTTACAGATGTATAAAACAGTAAGGAGACGTGTATTTTAATACTTTTAAACGGCATGTAATTGTAAAACTTTTGCTCAAATACTTTTATTTTTTTTGTTATTGAAGACTCTAAAACACCCGTCTTATTTTAAAATGCATTGGATGTAACGTTAAAGGCTTGCACTGTATCTATAAATGGGTTAATAGATTTAAACATTATACATGTTATGTGAAAAGTAATACTTTTTTAAAATGTATGATAGAAATAGGTCTATTTGTTTGATATAGAACAACCGGTTTTATATGTTTTATTAAGAAAACATAACTATTTACTTGATATAAGTTTAATACATACGCTTTTAGATGTTTTTAAAAACACGATTTAATGCCCGCAGATGCATGAACGCTAAAGACACATGTATTTTAACTTTATACAATATTTTAATACTTTTAAAACGCGTAATTGTGAAAAGAGCGAAACAGATGTTTTATATAAAACGGAGCAATTTACTAAATAGCGTGTAAAGGTAAAGACTCCTGCCGTGTCTTAATGATATAAATTGACTAAAAACGGATTTTAAAACATTGTTTTGTAAACGTATGTCTTTTTAAAAAATAAATGGTTTAGAAAAAACAGTTTTCTGTAATGAAAAACCCCTTTGTTTGACTTTTTCTGTAAAATGGTCGATCTTTGACTTTTTAATACAATTTTTAAACTGTTTTAACATAAAATATATATGAAGCCGTGCATTTTTAATGAAACACTAAAGATGTATTTTAGAAAACTTTTTTAATAGAACACTATTACAACGTTATTGTATTTGTTATAGCTTGTACAACTTCAAGTCTGTGTAAAAGATTTTTCTTTTAATAAAAATCACTAAACCTATCTTTGTTTTATGTCATCATTAAAGTTTGAAAATGTATTGTTTTTTCACTATCGTGGGGATCGTGCGATCACCCTGAAGTGGTGAGGGGGTGGTGACACGACCCCTCCGTAACAGGTGTCCAGTTCGGTACCGGGTCGGATGGATGGGGGTCCGGTTCGTGGGGAAATTTTTCCCCCGATCACGTGACCAGTCCAGAAGAGGTGGCTAGGGGTGGTGGTGGTGATGGTGAGGGGTGGTGAGGGGAGACCGTGGGAATTTCCCACGGTGTACGTACAGTTCATAAGTGGGAGGGGTGGGAGGGGTAAAAGGGGCGGGGCTTATTTTTATGGGGGGTGTAATGTTAGGATGTCATGTATAAATGAGGGAATGGAAGCGTTGCTCTCTTCTAAGTTCTTTATTAACAACAACTGCCTCTTCTGGCACCATGAACTGCAATGTGTTGATCACATACCGTATATCTCCTATTAACTACGCTTGCCATAACCGGGTATACGTTGCTGTATTGATTACCGTATATAGCCTAACAGATCCTCAAGCTATCACTACATCTTCCCTTTTCAAATATTATTCTGTAATAACATAACATGTGAGAATGTCACAACAATAACACACCAATAAAGATAAACAAACATCTTTCAGTGTCTTCTTTCTTATGATTTTAAACATCTTATTCAACAATTGTTTAGAACTTAGATCTTCTTTTGAATCACAAAAGACTATCTAGGGATTCCGGGTAGACTACCGGTCACCCACATAGAAGCCGAGGATTATTCTGCCTCACATGGCAATCTATGTACTAACTATGAAATCTTTCAAGTGTCCAGGCTGTTTAACAACTCTTCCTTTACGCGTAACAACCTTTTTAGGCTGTTCTGGAATTTCTTGTCCTGCGTTCTGATCTTGATCACTTGGACATTGTTCAGCTTGCGCCAATTGCTCATCCACACTTTTCTCTTCATTTGAACCACGTTGGCATGCAGACGAAATGAAAACTCGTAGATGCTTTCTGTTTCTTCTCAAGTCTCCATTCTCTGTGCGAATTATGTACGATCTTGGCGTCGTGTGTTTACCTACAACCGTAGCAGTCTTGTTCCAGCCTTTCTCATTATCCGTTTTGACTGTAACAGGATCTCCAGGTTTGAGTTCAGGCAACGGTCGAACACCATGACGTCTGTCATAATAAAGCTTGTAATTAGCTTTCGCCATCTTGTCAGTTTCTTTCACCCTTGAAAAATCAGGCCACTCAGGCTTCAGTTTCTTTTCCAGCACAGGAACCGGTGTTCTCAACTGACGTCCAAGCATCAATTGCGCAGGGCTGTATCCTGTGACTTGTATGGGAGTAACTCTGTAAGCTAGAAGAGCTAGAAAAGGATCTTCCTGCCTGAGAATGTGCTTTGCGGTTCTCACTGCTCTTTCAGCCTCACCATTTGACTGTGGAAAGTGCGGACTCGTGGTGATGTGGTGAAACTTGTAAGCTGTTGTGAAATCCTGAAACTGTTGACCAACGAATTGTGGACCATTGTCAGTAATTAGGGTATCAGGACAACCCCATCTGGCAAACATGTTGCTCAAGCGTAATACCACAGTCTTTCCTGACATATCTGGAAGATAGGCAATGTCAATGAATCTAGAAAAATAGTCAACCACTACAAGGTAGTGTTTTTTGTTAACTTCACAGATGTCAGCTGCAATTCTCACCCAAGGTGCGTCTGGTAATGTGGTGTTCATCAGAGGTTCTCTGTGTTGAGCTGGCTTATTTATTTGACAGAAGGCACAGTTCTCTATAGATACCTGGATCTCCTTGCTAATCCCAGGCCACCAAACACTTTGTTTTGCACGCTCTCTACACTTGACGATCCCCATGTGACCATCGTGAAGTTTCCTCTTGACCTCAGCTCTCATGACACTTGGAATAACGATCCTGTCACTGTAAATCAGGAGGTCATCACACACAGACAACATATCCTTCACAGCGAAGTAAGGTTTGACGTGCTCTGAAACTTGTGAAGGGTACTTTGGCCATCCTTGTCTTACGTACTTTATCACCACCTGCAACTCAGGATCAGTCTTTGTGCTTTCAATTACCTCGTTCAGTCGTGTACATGACATTGGCCAGGCAGCTCTAGTGGACTCTTCCAAAGCCGTAATGTCATTGATAAGCTCCACTGAATCCAGCTGTGGTGTCGAAGACGGATGTCTAGAAAGAGCATCAGCTACAACCAGTGATTTCCCTGGGACATATTCAGCTTTAGCATTGAACCTCATCAGTCGAATCAAGAGTCGCTGGCATCTCAAAGGAACCATGTCAATTTCCTTGTTGTTGATGAGCGGAATCAACGGTTAATGATCTGTGTGAATTACGAAACTGTCCAGACCATACAAGTACTTGGAAAATCTTTCACAAGCCCACACCACACCGAGACATTCTTTTTCAATCTGTGCATATTTTGTTTCAGTGTTGGTCAAAGTACGCGAACAGTAGGCTACGGGTCTCAAGCATCCATCATGCTGCTGGAAGAGGACTCCTCCTAGCCCATAGCTGCTAGCATCTGCACTTACGATGGTTGGTTTGTTGACGTCAAAGAAAGAAAGGATTGGTGCTTCAGTCATGAGCTCTTTGATTCTTGTGAGCGCCTGCTCCTGTGCGTGACTCCAAGTCCAAACTGTATCAGCTTTAAGGAGATCATTAAGTGGGCGGGTTATTTCAGCCAATCCAGGTAGGTATCGACCTAAATAATGAACCATTCCAAAATCCTCTTTACTTCTGTCACGTTCTGTGGAGGTTGAATATTCAGTATGGCCTCAACCTTTTTCTCGTCTGGCCTGACTCCACGAGCATCAATGATATGACCCAGAAATTGTATCTGCGTTTGCCTCAACAGACATTTGTCATCATTGAGTTTCAATCCTGCATCAGAAAGTGTCCTCAAGACCCTCTTTAAACGACAATCATGAACCTCTGGCGTTTCCCCGTAAATGATTATGTCATCCATGTACGCTGCTGTACCTTCATGGTCTCTTAAGAGGTTATTCATCTCTCTTTGAAATATCTCCGGTGCACTGGAGATTCCGAAAGGAAGTCTGTGAAAGAAATACCTCCCAAATGGTGTTATAAATGTTGTGAATTTGGCACTCTCCCTCTCCAGAGGAATTTGCCAAAATCCACTCGCTGCATCTAATAGTGAAAACATTGATGCACCTGACAACTGGGGAAGTATATCATCAAGGGTTGGTAGGATATACCTTTCACGTTCAACTGCTTGATTTAAGCGATTTAGGCCTACACATATTCTCACCTGGCCATTCTTCCTAGGCACAGGCACCATCGGCGCACACCATTCGGTGGGTTCTGTAATTTCTTCAATCACGCCGCACTTCACCATCCTGTCTAGTTCAGCTTTCACTTTAGAAAGTAAGGGAACCGACACTCTCCTGGCTGTCGTAATGGCATATGGGACTGCATCTGTTTTCAGCTTGATTTTCACAGGAGTGGTTTTCAAAAGTCCAACCGACTCACCGGGTGAACTTACATCGTCAATCCGCTGAACTAACCCCAGAGCAGCAGAAACTTCTCGACTCAGCAAATTATTAACAGACTGACCTGCAATGACAAAAACAGTAAAGCAGTACTTGTTTCCTCTGTGGTGTGTGCTTGTCTCAAATCTTCCTGTACTTCTCAATTTCCCTCCTGGACAATCCAGCGCTGCATTCACGAACATTAAGTTAGGCCTTGTGTTGAGAGCTTGTAAGTTTGTTCCGATATTACACTAATATCTGCACCAGTGTCGATTTTAAACTCCACTTCTGTATCTTGAATCCTCAAGGTTATGGACCATGCGTCACTTGAGTCCTTTACTGTGATTGCTCCAAGGAAGAATGAATCTTCGTGCTCTTCCTGCACTACATTTACATCACTAACATGTAGAGTACGACACACAATAGCATAATGGCCTCTCTTGCCACACTTTCGACACTCTGCTCTTCTCGCAGGGCAATTGACGCTCTTTGGATGTTGTTTACCGCACCGCATGCATTTCCCCGCTATTGAGTCATTTGATCGTGTGTTTTTCTGGCTATTTGTTCTCTGTGTCCATTTTCTCTCTACGCTTTCTGGCTTGAACGCTCCTTTTGGTCGAAATGGTGCACTGTGCTTCCTTCGTACGACTTCATTTAATGCTGAAGAGCTAGTCTGTTCGGAAACGTGATTTTTAATCTGCTCCGATTGCCGTGCATGCCTACATGCTCTCTCAAGCGATAAGTCAGACATCATTTGTAATCTTTGGGACATATCTTTATCCAGAACACCAATCACCAACCTGTCTCTTATATTTTCATTTTTAGCTTCTCCAAATGCACATGTTTCAGCTAGTTCATGTAAGCTACGAATGAATTCTTCCACACTTTCCCCTTGCTTTTGAACACGCTGATAAAATTTCGCCCGTTCATGTATCACGTTGACTTTAGGCACAAAGTAATTGTTCAACTTCTCCAGAACTATGTCGTACCTATTCTCGTCGCCATCCGCTGCATACACAAATGTACTGACGATGTGTTCTGCCTCCTTCCCGAGAGAATACAAAAGTGTACAAACTTGAACTTCCCCCGACTCTTTGTCCAGCTTCGTGGCTATTCGGAATCTGTGGAAACGCTGCTTCCATTCAGGCCAGAGCTCGGGCTGACTGAAGTCAAAACTTTCGGGTGGAGAAAACTTTGCCATGTTGTCATGTTCACTTCTGACACCATGTAATGTTAGGATGTCATGTATAAATGAGGGAATGGAAGCGTTGCTCTCTTCTAAGTTCTTTATTAACAACAACTGCCTCTTCTGGCACCATGAACTGCAATGTGTTGATCACATACCGTATATCTCCTATTAACTACGCTTGCCATAACCGGGTATACGTTGCTGTATTGATTACCGTATATAGCCTAACAGATCCTCAAGCTATCACTACAGGGGGCAATAAACCTGTCAGTTTGATGGGTTGTGCCGCACATCCTCAAAATAAGTGGAAAAGAAAGTTGAGATCTTGGGTCAAATGAAGAAGAAGCGCATGCGTAAGATTATATGAAATGTTTT